ATAGTTTTGAACCTAATAAATTCTTTCGATTCGATATATGCTCAATAAAAATTTGACTGAACATATCCAGTCTTTTGGACGAGTCACTGTTACTGGCAGAGAAACTTTAAATTCTCAACCGTATTTGTACCAGTAAAACATTGCTCATATAATGCAGGGCGGGGCATGACCTTGTCTCAAGTTCTAGGTCACTTAAGATAAGATGTTTTGGTTGGATATGAACTAAAAGAATATTTAAAAAAAACATACGTGAACTTTTCCACTCGGTAACACGCAGAGTATGTATTTTTGTAACAGAGTTTGTCTTTGCTTGTTGCAAGGTCATTTAGAAAGTTCAAGGTCATGCACATAACATTCTTTTACAGTCTTTTTCCTGGCGAAACATTGTAAGTTGCTTCCTCAACAAGCCTTTGGGTTGCTTATTTAAATAATTTTATAATGGTTTGACCTAGACTCAAGGTTACGTCTTCCCTTCCGTAGCTCCAACGGAAGACCTATTCGTTGCTTTGCAACGAGCTCGGCTCTAGTTTCATCGATGATTCATGTTGAAAAGTCATTATGATACAATATATTACTATAATGGTGAGAATATCAATGACCCATATACCCATATCAGTATTTTATCAAATGCCAACTTTCAGCGACTGAAGCAAGACAGTAATCTTTTATTCATATGAACTGTATTAGTATGTTGTTCAGCAATCGTTTTAAATTTATCGTTGCTACTGCTCATTGATGATTCATACATGCATATACATGCAGTCCTTTTAAAACAACTTTATTGTGTTTACTCTTGAGCAACTTTTACATATGGAAGAATAAATATCAAATGTTACTTTGAGTTGACAAATCTTTGCAAGTAGGGTTTGTGTAGAATTTTATTACTTTGGATAGGATTTCCTTGATCAATATTTTGTTCTTTCCTTGATCAATATTTTGTTCAGTAATCAAAAAAGCTTAAATTTAGATTCATTATCCCTTGTAGGTATATGCATCCTGGATACATCATTATTGCAACTAAAGTCAGCTTAAATTAAGCTTTATATGGTAACCTGAAAATGAATCTTCAAAGAAAGTATGGTAATAAAAATCCATAGATTATATATTTTATAATTTCTTTTAAATGTCTTGAAATGAGATTCAATGGAAGACACTCTCTTTTTCATCCGAAAGTGATTTTGGACCCGAAATATTCAACAATATTCTCCTTGGAATTAAAATCGGTATGAATTTCATATCTATCTAAAGAGAAGGTAAAAGTTATTTCACCCGGCTATAGCCTTAACATTTGCAATAACCTAGATACCCGGCTAATATACAATGTACTGATATAGTACGATTCTCAGTTAACCTTGGACTTTTAGTAGAGCGTGACGTTCTCGACACTACTAATTTTAAAATGTCTCTTAGATGGCGAGGGGATTCTCATTGGTTAAGAAATTAATAACATCAGCAACTTTATATTGTTGTTGACAACGATGAGATCACTTAAGCAACACTTCTCTGCCGTACGAAATACTGTGATTGGATCATTGACTCAGTCGTTGACATTTGCCGGAATGTATCTTTCAACAGTGATGGAAAGGTTGTGAAAATTTCAGACGCTTATTATGTAACGTCGAGAATACCACGCCTTACTGAAAGTTCAAGGTTAACTAAGAATTGTACTATGTGCCTATCTATATGTTTGTTTCATCTTTAAAACCCTGGCAAATTATTCGAATGTCAAAGAAAAAATATTTTCTGTGGAAGAAAACGTATAGAGACAATTCGAAATGAATTTACAAAGTGCCTATGACACACTGTAAATTCATTTCGAATTGCTTCTATACGTTTTCTTCCATAGAAAACATTTTTTCTTTGACATTCGAAAAATTTGCCAAGGTTGATAGGATGACACAAACATGGATATGTTTCTTTATAGAAGACTCTTTTGAAAGCGTCACGGACCTGAAGGAGTCCATCGATCCTTACGTCGCGGATTCGACTCCCACTGCGGGACATAGAGATCGGCCCTGATCCCGTGTCGCAGTAATTGCTAGCCAGAAAAATATCTCTCGCTGCTCAAAATTTTTCTCCAAAGAGACGTTAAACAAACAAAGTCATTCATGCCACCGTCTTTCAGTACTCACAGTATTTTGATTTATTACTCGCACCATGCACAGAGCCAAAAACAGTTATAAATATATACATAATTTGATTACGATTTAAAAGATTTGTCAAACAAAAAATATAATTATGCTGTCTTGAAATCCCATTTTTATAGCAAATCATAACTGTTAGTTTCAAGGTACATCTAGTATAATAATGATCTAGAATGATGTGCCTTAAGGATAAATGAAAAGGTAATTTCTCTAAAATCTAAGCCATTGATTGCTGCTTCATTAAACACGAAAAAGCTTTGTAGGTTTTTTAATAAAAATTTCTTTAGAATCCATCAACTACCCACGGTTTATAAAACACTATTAACAAAGCAGCTCAGACGTCTCATTATTTTGCACATCCTTTCCCTGCTTTAGCTTCCCCCATTCTCAATTTAATTCTAGGTGCATACGGTCATTAGTGGAACTCTCTTTATCTAGAGATTATCGGTGTACTCATTGACTCATCCGCTGATAAAAGTGAAAATGGAAAATGCTTCTCCTTCGTTAATTAATAAAACTACTTTGTACTTCTAACCGTTCTGAGAAAAACTTAAAGCTAAAAATGTTTAATACAGTATCTATCCAGAATGAAAATATACTTGGAAAACCTCGTAACTATAGTACAAAATTAATCAACAATGTGGCTGCTGACCATTTCAAGTTTAATCATGAAAGAGATATTAATACTGACACATATTTATTAGTGCCGTAAGTGCAAAAAAAAAAAAAAAAAAAAAAGAATGTGATTTTTTTATAGCTGCTTTTCCCGTAGGGTTAATTTTTGTTTTTGCGCTCCATGCATATGGGATTTCATTCAAATTGACTCTGAAGCTATACTGTAGAGTTTGCACATCTGCGGCTCTTAATCAGATGCACGAGTGTTCATTCATTTCATAAAAGAGTCCTCTAATTTATTTTTCCCTTTACATTTATTTATATTTCAAGAACACTATTACTTGATTATAAATGCATTTTGCCTTGCCATTCGTCAAAATATTATGACTAAGTGTGTTTGATAATATGCATCTATTTTAGAAGGCTTTAACAAGAGGATGTTTATTTGTAGATTCATAAAAATGATAAATTTAGAACATGCTACTAAAAAAATATACATTGATAAAATTGAAAGCTATGCCAATTCTTAGTTTAGAGATTATAATGTTTTCGACAATGACGTTGCCACCTGCTTTATAATACACTGATTTAGATTTTTTCAGATTTTTCATTCAAAAGCACAACTGAGCATTTAGTTTTATATTATGAAACTCGATTCATAACATTTAATGGCATTGCAGGCTGCCGATGTTAGTTATCAGATTTCATTATGTGTTAGGAAAATTCAAATCTAAGTGTCAATTTTTATATCATCTCACTGTCGTAGCTGGTAAGCGTATATTCAAATTTCATACTGCAATAATTTTAAATTATTAGTTTATTCTTGTCAACACTTATCGATGGTGATATGCATGTGGTCAAACAAAATGATTCTTTTATACAGTGCATTATAAATGCTCTGATACAAACTTCAAAGACAACTGTACTATTATATGACAATTTCAATTGAATTTAAATATAAAATAGTTTTCAGTAGGCCAAAATTAACAAGGGTTATATCCCGTTGACGGCCATATTGGGGGTCAACACGCTCAAATTCCTTCATTTTCAATCAACTTAAACTTTTTTATGCTGGCAATTCAGGTATAGGAAGCATTAATTTTCTGAAAAATACATTTGTTGGAGCTTCCTTTATTTCATAAATCCCCCCTGATATTTCTGCTACACGATCTTAAATTCGGTAAGACAAAGAGGAAAACTTGCCAGGTTGACCACCAAGATGGCGCCCAAGGGAAATACAGTACTAGTAACCCGAAGAGAAAATACATCATACGAAAACTATATTTTTTACTTTAAAGATTTTGCACTTCTAATGCCAATAATTTTTCCTCTATCAAAATAGGCACAAAATTATGGACGAAATAAATTTTGGTACATGTACTTTCTTACTACTCTGTAAGTTCAAAATGGCGGATGCAAAATAAACAAGACTGTTTTCATGACGACAACTTTTATTCACAATTGACAACCACTCAATACTTATCCACTCACAATTTTCTATAACAACAAGACGTAAACATGTAATAAGGCATTTTTAACATGAAATAACAAGACAAAAACATTGTTAATTAAAACATTTCTATGATGACGCAATTGATAGCATCTAGTAATCTCTTGTTTTCAAATTCATCTTTTCATACCATATAAGGTAGAACTTTATAGGCTAGGAACAATGATAGTTTTCATTTAACTTAATACATTGTACGGAGGGTTATTTATTTCAGAATTGTGCCAGTGGACGGAAGTAAAAAAAAAACTAATTTGAAAAAAAAAAATAGGTTCTTGCATTGCGAGATTTCAGGTTTTAAAAATCTCTAGGAATAAGTTCAACACTCGAAAGGGAGACTTTTACGAACGATGACACCTGGTGACGTAGCATATGATTATGTTATAGAAGTGTTAATTATGCGTTCTCAGCTTTTTATGCAATACTGTTGATGTGCAGTTTGTAGACCTGTAAATGCTTTTTGTGCTAATGAGGAAGCCGATTGAGATGCATGCATGGCTGTTTTTGATTGTGAAAATGAAGACGTTTTAAACTGCGCTTGTATATTAAACCTATTAACCATTGTAAAGCAGAGACATTACCTTTACTATAGAAAATGTTTACTGAAAGGAAGGTTGCCCCCCCACATTTCCTTCCATTGTATTAGGCTAGACTTTGGGCAACTTTTAATGAACTTTTTCAGGTAAGTAGGTTGGCCCCCCCACTTCCAAAAACGATGCTACGCGCCTGCAGAGTTCCATTTCTGACCTTCCATTGTATTAGGCTAGACCATGAATTCATAACTAAAGAAGGGTCTTTTTTTCAAGATTAATTTTTTTCAACTTTAATATTAATAGAGAAAAGAGGAGAAAAAACACTCAACGGACTTGAAAAACGCTAAATACAAAGAAAGAAAATTATGAATATACATGCCTCTAACTTTCCAAACCAAGTCATCCCATCCCTAACCCCAAAAAGTTTAAATGTTCTATCTTTTGTTAAAAAATATATTTCCATTTTTTTTAATTATATCTTTGAAAAAAATAGCTTGCCAAGGGTTATACATATGTAAACTATAAAAGGAAAACTGAACCGAGATACGAGACACAACATCGGATCAGAATGTGTATATACAATTTACTACTTATGTGTGGGGGCTGATTTGCTAAAAATATTTACAATTTCATTCATAAAGTAAAGTTACACACATCAACAATCAACAGATCGGAGATCGAACAAAAAACAACCTGGTACAATAAATCATTCGTGGCAACATTCTTTCAGCTTAAAAAAAAATGAAATAAATCATTGTAAGAGGATTCAGTATTTTCAGGAATTAAATTATGTCAGAGGAGTAAAAACGCATTCTTAATTATTAATAGGAGCATGTCAATTATGTATACATCTGTTATGAAAATCTATTTTTACACAGAATGCACTAGGCGTTAAAATAGTGTTCACATTCTTTTTTCGAGATGGTTTTTGAAAATCGGTTTGAACTAAGATTACGTGCTCATAACTGCCATAAGTTTTGGCATTTCTTAAGTGGGATTTTTTTAATATAGAGAATTTCAGTACAAAAGTTTATAGACAAAAACATTGAAAAAAAAAAAAAGATATTTACAAAAAAAATTAATAATAATAGTTATTAAATAAAGAACTTAACTCACCGGTACCGAGTTTTACGAATAAGTTTACTCATCATGCGAACTATTATTTTAATGTACGTTAAATTAATTTAGTTTGTTCAAATAATACTATTGATAAAATAATCCATATGTGTACTTCCATAGATGTAGCAATTTAGATTCAACGTAAAATGTTCATGCATAACATGCTATAATTTGCAATAAAGTACAATACTTTACGTTAAATTATCATAGTCTAGTTGTTTGGCCGCTATAAAATATGCATTTTTCTTTATGGTTCCACAATAGTGTTAAGTAAAATTAAAATATAATGTAATTACTATATCACGTGAAAAATGGACAGTTTCATCAGAATCAAATGCAATACGCAGACATTGGACTAACTAGGCATTGTCATCAGTCACTTTCTCTGCACCAGTTTTTCGATGTCCTGGGGTATGTTAATCCAGGGATGAGAGGAAATTTAAATATGGAAATGTGAAAATGCTTTTACGAGATACCAGTCGTCACAAAGCAATTTCAATTGATTTTCCTCCGTACGAACTTCGTCTTTGGAATATATGATGTCACACGTGTGTTGTAACAGTAGCAAATCCATTTTTCTCCGCACTTACGACTCCCATTTTTCTCCATCCGGGCTTTTTATCCGGACAACACTTACAAAATATACTAATGAATGTATGGCGAAATTGTCTGCTCATCGTGCAGTATAGGACGAAGTTGATAGAGTTATTCAACAGAGCCGTCATATCCAGAAGGTTCCCTAAATTTTCGTAAATTTCTCGATGGTACTCTTTATTAAAACTGCTCATTAGAGTCAGTACCCCTTGCGGGAACTCGGTGATCAAAAAGAGAACAACAACTGTGAACAACATCATTGTTGTTCTGTTGTGTTCGTTATGCTTGTCCGACTCGTCTTTTTTCCCCTGATTTTTGAGAGCCATCCTTTTCTTGTAGGCTTTGTGCATGGCCACAATGAGTAGGACCGTTAGAATAGTAAGCATCACACAAGGTATGAGCTTCACAAAAATTGCTTGTACCCAGTAATTTAGTTTTTCTAAAATCCCAAACACCCCACCTACACGGTAGTCAATGGTGTGAATGGTTTCGTTTGTGTTTGTCTTGGGATCGCAATATAGCATCTGTCCGTTCACATTGATGATGTAATTTGGGACAAGACATATAATGGTTGACACGATGGTACAGGTTATAGCAAGTCTCGCCTTTGCAAGAGAACAATATGTCGCACCCCTTGTCGGGAACCAAATGTACAAAAATCGGAATATGGCCAATGCTATCGTTAACCAGATAGCTACAGTATGGCAAACGATGCTAAAACTGGCATGAAATAGCAGGAAACATATCCAACCGAAGTACCGTGTCGTAAAATAATATAATTCAGGTTCTTTAAAAATGAAAAAATGAAGAGCAAAGGGGAAATAACTCAGCATGGTGAAAAGATCTGCCACTGCCAGCCACGTGAGTAAAACATTTGTCGATGACAGCATATTTTTTCTTGTTAAAACGACAATGTTAACACTGTTGGCCACGATTCCAAAAAGGCACACCACAACACTAAGATAACCGTGAACTCCAGCGTACATAACATTGAATTTGTACAACCCCGTCAATTCCGTTCCATTATCATTCGCCGTTTCAGGACATGTCAACGGAGTTACGGAATTATTCTCCAATCGAATGTCGTACGTTGTTACATTGGAAAGATCATTGTAAATCATAGTCCCATTGTATGAATCCATGTTTCGGCCTGCAATTAAAAGTCTTGTGCGCCGAGTGCAGGAAGATGGCAAGTTCCTGATAGTCTTATCGCTCTGTGCCCGCTCAGAAATCGCTTGTCATCATCTTAATGGATGTTGAACCTAAAATAATAGCATTCATTTGTTAAAACGCTATATCTATCGAATTACTCGGTGATAGCTTCAACAGCTTTTTAGGCGGGATAAGAAAAGGCACTTTGGATAAAGCTTGAAGGAAAATGAAGTATTTTTAAAAGGAAAAATCAGCTTGGACCCGGAAAAGCTGTTTCATTCTTGAGAACATTATCTTAAAAAAATCTGGAGCCTCCCCCGCAACCCAGGAAAACATAACCCCTAAATTGCTACACAGTAGGAACATGCAAATATTTATTTTATCTCTGTTATTACGATTTCATGCGATGCCCTTTTCAACTCTGATCTGCTAATGTTCCGCGGTATCATCTTGATAAAGCAAGATAGAAAATAAAAGCTTTCAACAAAAAAGAAGTTATTTGTATAATCATCAAGCCAACCTGTGAAGAAAACACAACAGAAGTAATCTGTGGTTTTCAATTACTATTATCTTATAAATTCAGTTAATGTGTTTCCTAGCGAGTTAGAAATTTTAGGTTAATTTATGAATAATTAAAAATAATCTGTGAATTTTAGTTTTCGCCCATTGATAATTTTTTTCAGGAATCAGCTTAGGAACAATATGTCTGAAAAGTTTTATATTTACATGATTAAGAACATAAGCCTTTGTCTTAATATAATTATATTCAATTTTATGAAAGAGTAATAAATAAATTTGGGCATACTTTGCAGTATAAATAAAAGATAATTAATAAATTATAAGAAGGAAAAGAGAAAAAAAATTATACTTAAACCTCTTCGCCATTAAAGTTGTTAAACACAATAGATGAATTATATCTTAAAGCATATTTAGCAATTCTTGTAAAAGTCATCTTGAAGGGGCACATTGTCGATAAACGGAGTTGTCTTTCAGCCATGAAATAAAACCTCACTCAATAAGTATAATTAAGGCTAAAATAAACACGTGTAAGGATCTAACAACTTGTTTTATATGAGCAATGATAAAAAGAGCTTACCGTAGACAATACATTGATCTCTTCCAAGTTTTATTGTCCTAGTATGCGATGCGGATCACTGCTGCTATATCCCGGTGAATGGCCTGAAATGAAGAGAAAACACTTTATATTAACATTTCATTCTTCTGCACCACTGCAGCACAGAATCAACATTGATAAAAACATAAACAAACGTGGCATCAGCTTGTGCAAAATAACACAATTGATTATTGGCTTATTGGCTGTTCTTTTTTATATTATTCAGTATATCAGCACGTGTTGATTTGGTCTCTTTGGCTAGTGCAAGGTTTTAAGGTTCCGTAGAACTTCATTTATATGTTGTCTCGAAAACCAAAGTTAGGTTAATTTCTATGTTTTATGCTTTCCATTAGAAGGTGCTAGGAAAAACGTGTATTCACATTAAAAGACACAGAAGTATACTTTTTATGGTTCATAGCAATCTCATTAATGCCTTCGCAAAATTCACTCATTTGCTCTGTTTTTTGCTACCACCTTTCCTGTTTTTAAGACCATGGCAATTTAGCGTGTTTCATGATAAAGTCCCAAGAATAGAAACGTTGACACCCATAGCAAATAAAAAAATCCATCAAAAACACACTAAAAAGTTGGAGCTGTTAGAGTTTAGGAAGAAGTGGAAATATAAAACCACAGAAGAAAAATATACAGAAGAGAAAGTCAAAACGGTTTAACCCAACCTTTCTGATAAAACTGAGCGATCCCATGCCTTGGATAACAGATATGATACTGCAGCCTTTGATTCTTGCGGAGTGCTATCTCAAAAATATATAAACATTTGGAGGAAGAATTGGCGTCTGTATTTTTGAACCAGTTGCTTTTTGATATGATTTCGCGCATATGATATTAGAAAAACTAATGCATCTATTTTCATCTCAGCGAGAACTGCAATGATGACAATTATAATTTCTGAAAGGGTGTGAAAATAAATCTATGGTGCAAAGCGTGTAAAGTAATCACTTTAGTGTATTGCTTTGAAAAAAAATATCCAAGACTTTAGTTCCTTGAGTTCTACATAAAGTAGCTGATTATCTTTAGCATTACTAATTATATGCTGGAAGTCTCATTTTCTGGTGCTTATATCTTTGAAGAGATCTAAAGAAATCTTTATACAGTATTTTGTTACACGACCCGAAAAAGAACACTTCTAAGGTGATCAGATATATTTTGTTTTTACAACTTAAAATTTACATGTTGAATGTTTTTATTAAAAATAATCAATATCAGATCAGTGGTGCGAGTTTGTTTTCCAGTGATAAAAAATAGACACTCTGCCACACACATGTATCAAAATCTGATTAAGGAACAAAATGCCAAACCGGCAGCGGAAGTTGTCCCCGCAATTTGCATTTTCATCACAGCGGGTTAAGAAATCTTTAAATGATGCCAAGAAGACTCCTGAAAGAGTTTTTCTGAGAGGTCGTTTTTGTAATAGAGCCCTTTTTGCAAAAGACATATTAATCGTTAAACTCGTGGCTTTGTATCAATTCTGTGAAGACATCATGCTTGAGTCTATTTATCGCCTCCAATACATTGTATAAGACGAGTTCAGATTTTTTTATTCATATCGATGAAAATTTGCCCTTGTACGTTTTGCATTGACTATTTTCTCTTTAAAAAAATGTCTAACATTCTCTCTCCCCTCTCTCTCTCTCTTAACTGACTATTAATACTATTAATGCCCTCATATTCATGTATTTACAAACAGTGTACCTTTAAAAGAAATGCCAATTTATGGAAAATAATCTAACAACAAAATAAGTATGTGCACCTTTTTGTACAAATGCCGTTACATTTTGGAGTTGATGTAAGCATTAATAGGGTCGGGTGGTTGTGGGCATTTTCAGACTAAATTAAAGATATACAAAAATGAACAAAGTTTAAGACTAAAATGTATGAATTTTTTCTTTGCCAAATGATAGTTGACGGCTTAAGATTTCATATTTAAATAAAAAAAATAAGCTCTACCTGATGGTTATTTTTTTTTTTACACCCCCCCAGCCTCCCTTAACAGCCACGTTAGTTTTTCACCACAAATTAGCGCACAAATAATAGGAAACAAATTAACACATTGAATCCCATGATTCAATTAAACAAAAAAAAATGAATATAATGAGAAAAAAAAATTAACATCAGTGTCACCAACTGGCGGTGAGATACTAAAATTAGATCATACGTACATATATATATTTTTTATTTTTGTTTTTATCACCGCAACATATTGTGACCTAGAACGTTGAAAACCCGTACTTCATACATTTTCAATTCAAGTTATTACCCTATTTATTTCCTTAAATTTTATCAAACAGTGCTTTTCAAATAGTGTTTTTACTTCAAAATTCATACTAGACAATTTTACTAAAACGTTAATCATAAGAAATCAATGTAACAATTTAAATGGTGTTGTCTTTTGTTTTGAGAAACGTAATGTGGTTTTCTTTTCAAAGAATAATATAAAAATTATGCATGTTTACAGAGGTGTATGTATATTCTAAACCTTTTTTGTCGTAACTCTTCAAAATTTACACTAAAACCAAAAATTTTCTTAATGACTTAATATCAATTGATGCTGTAAAAAAGGGTTTTCTTTTTTATTCATTTACATTTTTCCTTCCAGTTTTCGATACATTCATATATGTAACGATTAATAAACTTGTTTTTCTTTAAGCCCCACCTTTCACATGGCTACAAGTTGACAATACCGTATATAAGGAATTTTTATCAGGACGTAAATTTAGCGAATTGTCTATAAAAATCATGCATTATTTAATTTAGCAAAGAAATAAAAACGATTTTAGCGTGAACAGTTTCCATAACACCAACTTCTAACGCAGATAAAATTTTTTTATCAATATTTAATTTTAGCGATTTTAACACCCTCGCTAAAATTGCCAAAATTGAATCCTCAATCCTCGCCCAAAATTTCTGCGTATACGGTAATTTAACTTGAACACATTCATGTACTGTACATGTATTAATCGAAAGAATATAATCCTATGTGTACATTTGACAAAATTTATATCGTTAAAATTGAAAAACCAAGTGAGTCGAAGTATTTAAGTGTTGAAATAAAACTTGCATGTATGAGCGGAAGCATGCAACAATTGGTAATTCAAATTTTTATTTTATGTATTTGGTCTTTTTTATGATGTAGTTAAATATTAAACATTGTCAATACACACCTAATTTATGATGCTAATGAATATCAGAACACAATGCGTCATCTGAAACAGATGTTGCTGGTTTTTAATTATGGTTGAAATTGATACACGTTGGCCTTTAAAAAGCAAACACGATATTATATAAGTTATTCAACCGATGATGAAAAACAATCACCAAGCAACACACAATTTGTGCAAAACCACGGGCCTTTAGATCGCTTAGAAAAAAATTGAGGTTTGAAAAAAAAAAACGTACACGTGTGATGTTTCGTAATGTAGCAGAAAGAAACACGATAACTGGCATAGTGTCTTTTAGGAACAATATAGAGAGTTAATGTAAACCTGTAATTTTCGAGAGAAAAACTTGAGAAAATGAATTGGATTTTCGTATTTATATGGATTATGGGAAAATTTCACTACAAAGGTTTTTACAATGATTTTTGCAAATCCGTTTGTATCCTTCAAAATCGTTTCGGTGCGATGCAATTTTTTGCTACATTCGAGTATATTTTTACATTGATGATATTTTAGACTAAGCTTAACACATAAATACTTAAAAAGGTTGATGAAATTACACTAATCATATTAAAGAAACTTGAAATCCGAGTAAGCGAAGTCATGCATGGATAAATTGACCGCTTTTTTCTGAATCCACATCAGAGCTTTCTTTCTTCTGATAAAGTGAGAAAAGTATAACCAGACGCTTGATTAAGGACGTGATTGATACATCGCTGAAACAGCGGATAGTGAAGGTATGATACAAAATCTGAACCCGTCAGAAAAGACCGATCCGGAATGATTGATGACTATTCAGATCTATACACTTGCCTTTACGAACACAAATAGTGTAAGCAAGCTGATTTCCCTTTTTATATCTTTTGGCTCTTCGTGAGTGAAAGTAACAAGAGGTTGAATTTTTTTTCAGCGAAGCGCAAAATGACTGATTTGATTAAACGATGTTATATCTGCTGGCCATTATTTATAGCATATTTATATTGCTCCCAAACGAAGGTCAATCAGCAAATGGCACTCCAAGTTGAAGGAGTCTGAATATATAAGCATGCAACCTTAGGAAAAAAATTATTGCAATCATCAAGGCTAACACATACTGATTGTACATGATACGAAATATATCAAGAACAAAATGACGGAAATGTTCTTTAAAATATTTGATCGATTCCTGATTATCCAAAAAAATGTTGAGAAAATGAAAAATCATGGACAGTTTTACACATTGGATGTAACATAACCCTTAAATTAAGAGATGAATTTAGAATCTTATGTAAGATCTAGAGATATAATCATAATTTGACGAAACCAATTGAAAGCACTTACACAAATACATATACATTTTCAACATTTAAAAATAATTGGTTACAAAGACATTATAATAAATACCGAACAGAGATAACGAATGCTTCAAATTTAGATTCAATCTGATCCTATACCTTAATGCATCCATTCTGAATAGAGTACATTATCTTAAGATTAGGGTTCTATAACAAAAAATCGTTCTTTGCAAGAAACACGTGTTGTGGGGGGTATTTATTTGACGCGTTGTTAACAGTAAGATGTGATTGACCAATTTCAATCTTAACACAATGTTCTCCTCTGAACAACTCGAGGTACAAAATATGAAATTAAGAAAAGTCAACAGACATGGAAAGTAGACTACAGCTATAAACACCTGCCTGTAAACATGTATATTCTGGGATGGTCTAAGAAGTTGTATAAAAGCTGAACGTGTTTTAATTCACATCAGTAATGAAGTTTCGAGAAAGAACAAAAATGACATCTGACGAAGCTTATTAACAGTTATGATGACAGGCAAAGGTACAAAGAGGTTTATTAATTAACACACTGTGTGGCATACATTTCCAACTAAACAAAATGGCCTTTAGATTAAAAAAATCTCTGTGCTCGCGTCGGAAGAGATTGATTTTTTCCTAATTAAAATCCTTAAAAACGATAAACAGAATAAACGCTAATTTTGAATTTTTTTCCCCATTAAAATATTTCACTAGTTTGTTAATTAAGAAAATGTTCGCTTAAAAAATTGATAAGATCTGTTTTTTAATTGGTGAATTTACATCAAAGTATATATAGTTTTATGCAACCAAACGATGAAGACTGGCATGGGATTGACAAAAATGAAACAATAAACAGAGAAAACAATGATAAAATTCGGTCATCAAAACTCTCCATAAAACTTCAGACATGGA